GTAGATTTGACGAACCGGTTCTACCGAATAGGTGCGAACTGGTAGGAACCCACCTCTGCAAAGCACCTTTAAATAATGTAATAGCTTTTATTGAAATGCATGAGAATTTATTACAGTAAAATGATGAATTGGATTAGCCCCACAATCAGGTTGCCAAAACAGCAAGCTCAAATGTGAAAATAGGGAAATTCTAATGATGTTATTCAATAAATTAACCTATGTACTTCTTTATTGTAGACAAGAAACAGAGTATATAGCCGAATTCTGTCTCTGTGTTCTCAAAATATTAGTGGGACCAGATCTCCTCAAGAATTATTCAAAACTTCTGGATTGACTCAGGTAGGATAATAAGCTGAACGTTGGGGACATCAAAAATAATGCATGTCTCTTTTTTCTTGGAATAATAGCTCCCTCAGCTGGTGTCTGAGCAAATTTTAAAAAATACATATAAATGTAACATTTAAGTGATAACTTATATTTCTGCTTCTATTCTCTATTTAAAAATAGTTTCTCACTTGAAGAGTACAGTAAACCTTTAACTTGTGATGTATATAGGATGAAATCCATTTTCTTCCCAACGATGACAAAATTAATATTAGCTTTATTTTACACAACCTCATGCTAAATGGAGCATTCTGCTGCAAGTCACATTTGTTGGATTATATAGGGAAGCAACAATAATATGATTTTTAAAAAATAATTTTCATGGTTATATGTTTCTAGTTCTATATGGGTTGTAGGAGTCGGGTGGCATAATAAACATGAATGCTGCTTTAAGTTACCATTTTGTTTGCTTGAATTATACTAAAATACATCACTAACTCTTTTTACACAACATTAGCTTCAACATTGGGTTTTCTTTATTTAGAAATGGGTGAACAGGGAAATATCCAATTTTGATTACCTCATTCAGTTAAATACAATGGCAGGACGCACCTACAATGATCTTGCGCAATATCCTGTTGTGAGTATTATTTGTGTCCATTGTTTCTGACTAGACCTAATATTATATTTTATCAAAACAAAACAAATGTGAGACTTGAAGAATGTTCTCCTTTTTTTTTCAAGTTTCCATGGATTCTGCAGGATTATACTTCAGAAGAATTGGATTTGAATAATCCTGCAGTGTTTCGGGATTTGTCTAAGCCTATTGGTGTAGTGAATGAAAAGAATGTGAGAGCTGTAAATGAAAGGTATTTCTTTTGAAGTAATCTTTTAATTGATGTCCTTATTATGGATCTGCTTCTTCTTAATGTTAACGCTTGTTCTCCTCCTCCAACTAATAAGTGGAATTTATTGTTCAGATGGTAGTGAAGAATTGAAGAAAACTATTCAAGTATTCATTGATAAGCAGGTTTAGGATGAGAGCATTTTAAATTGTCACAGCCAATAAAACTGAAGCACAGATATTGAATGTGGAGGGAAGTAAGCAGTAATAAAACTGTGACAAAAAANTATCGCCCCCACAGTCTGGGTCCTCATTTCACCCACCTCGGAAGGATGGAAGGCTGAGTCAACCTTGAGCCGGTGAGATTCGAACTGCCGAACTGCAGATACCTGTCAGCTGAAGTGGCCTGCAGTACTGCACTCTAACCACTGCGCCACCTCGGCTCTAGTCTGATACCACTTCAATGCCTTAACCACTAGACCAATCTGCTTCTTTAAGATATAATAGATTACCAACATGATAATAATTTCTTGACGAAACTAATAAAAATCAATGACAAGCTTATGGATATGGTTACTATTCTATTACCATTCTTCCCCTTTTTATTGTTATATTTTTTTGTGCTTTGATCCATGAGAAAGGTATTTTTCTTAGATATTTTGCAATTGATAATTACCTTACGATTCCACAAATATAGCCCTGGTCCAAAATTTCAGAAGCCATAATTGCTATTATTTGTGAAAAAACATGAAATGTATTATTCATATTTTTCCAATGCAGAGAGATGTGCGCAACATATCCCATAAGATTTGAAGACTAGCTTGGATAACAAGTCTCTTCGAGAGTGTAATTTTTTTTAACTGTTCCAATTGTAAAATGGGTATTAATACTTTATAAAGTATTTGATACAGCGAATAAAAGTAGCCATCTTTCCTCTTATTTATATTAAATGACTTACAGGAAACGAGTTACAGTTAGTTTCAAACCTCTCTTTGGTTTAAAGAATGGATTTTGTATCATTTGAATAATAGATTGTAGGTAGTTTTCTTTCTCAGTTCAGTTCAGTTCAACCTTTATTGTCAATGCACAACATGTGCACAATAAGATTGTCTGAGCCTTCCTTAGTGCACCCCCCCAACATAAATATATATCAATAACTCACCATGAAGAAATAAAGAAATAAAATTCCTAATCCAATAAATCATACTAACAACACACAATTCTCTATACATATATGTACATACCAGGGGTGGGTTCCTGCCAGTTCTAACCTCTTCTATAGAAGAGGTTCCACAAATCTACCATGCCATTTAGAACCGGTTCCAGCTCCCTCCCCCTGCCCATCCGCACCATGCTTGCCCCTCCCACTTCTCACTGATTGGCTGGCTCACCAATCGCCCCGTCCACCTCTAAGAGTCCTATCTAAATCTTAACGTCTTAAAGCTGTCAA